AGATTCGCCACAGGTAGCGTGCATGTCCTCACTATGGTGACAATGAAGTTTCAGCCTAGAGAAGACACTGCACTGGTGTAATCAGAGAGTCATAGGAAGCTCCTGGATGATTATCAGGGGAGCAGGACACTCTCTTTCAAACAATGGAGGTGGCCAATGGGAAAGGGATGACTGTTCTGTCTCTAAAGCATGAAAAAATTAATTGAGAGTTCTTTCTTAAGGTTGCTAGAGGGTTAGCGAGCCAGGGGATTTTGGTGGTTTATTTCACGGTTTCTGATTGTTGCTGTGTGTCACTGAGTTATAGGATGGTTGGAGGCAGGTAGATGCCAGGGCTGCTAACCAACCATCCCACGCAAAATAGCAAGCTCCATATTCAATGAGAGACCCTGCCAAGCGCAAGCTCAGAAGATGACGCAGCCAGTCCTGATGAGACCTGATAGACTAGAGTCAGAAAGAAGGTGAGGAAGTCCTCCCCTATCAATGGACTAGGGAAAGAGCATAGAGGGAGGTAGGGTGGGACTGGGATGAGATGAGGGAGAAGGCTACAGACAGGATACAACGCGAATAAATAAATAAATAAATAAAGATACAGATATCTATGTACTAACTCTTGAAACTCACACAAGAAGCAGTTCAGCACTTCCGTCTGTCACAACGGAGAACTCTCAAGCCCTGAGAGGTTGAATAAGTTGTTCCAAGTCACACAGCATCAAAATGGCAGAACCAGAATACAAGGCAAGAGGTCTCCTCTAGAGCCTGGCTCCACATGCTCTCCACAAAGGAGACCACTTGCCTTGTATCTTACCTACATTGGGGCTTTGGTGCCCTTCCCTCAAAGGACACTGGAGAAAAGCTCTTGGGCAGGCATTAGGCCTGCTCCAATGGGTCTCACTGCTGTCATGTTCATCTGGATATTCACATCAGGGCTTACCCAGGAGGAGGCTGCACTCCTGGGCAGCTGTTTGCTAAGGTCCTGGGATACTTTCTCTAAAGGTGCTGATCCTCCATTGTACCCACCTTCACTGAGACATATCCACCTCATCCTTCCTCTGTTTCCCCTGTCTCCTTCTTCCTTTCATTTTCCTTCTTTCTCACCTTTCTTGGACAAAAGCTACATGAAATGAAAATCTAAGAAAGAACAAGTAGAGGCTGATCTAAGGGGGAGGAGAACAAAATAAAGAAGGAAAAGATGACTTGAGAGTGGGTTTTAAAGAAATAACTCTTAGGTGAGGTACAGTGGCACAAGCTTATAACTCCAGGATTGAGCATCTGATGCTGGCAGATTGTGAATTTGCAGCCAGTATAGGCTATATAACAAAATCATGTCTACAAAAATGTAACTGTCATCAAAATGGAACCATAATAAAGACACCACTGCTCACTGACCTTGATTAAAAGACGGTTAACAGCAAGTGCCAAGGAGGAGGACTGACACCTCATGACTGCTGGAAGCAATAGGAAGTGACTTAGACAGTTAATGGATGCCCTAGTCTGCTATCTATTGCTGGGCTAAAGACCACAGTCAAAAGCAGTCTAGAGAGGAAAGGGAAGTCAAGGGAGGAATTCAAGTCATGGAGGCAGAGGCCAAAGAGGAACCCGACTTACTAGCTTGCTTGCCAGGGTCATGCTCAGGCAGATTGTTTTTATACCTCCCCGAACCATCTGCCCAGGCATGGTACTGCCCACACTGGGCAGGACCGTCCCACATCAGTCATTAATCACAAACATACCCCATATACTTGCCTACAGGCCAATCTTGTGGGGCATTTTCTCAACTGAGGCCCCCTATTCTCAAAGGACCCTAGCCTGTGCAAAGCTGACAAAAAACTAACCAGCATAAGGAAGAGATCTAGCAGTTCCTTAAGAGACAGAGAGTGGCTCTATAACCCAGAAATTCTAAATTCTACTCCTCAATACAAACCTAAGACACACACACACACACACACACACACACACACACACACACACAAAGCATATAGCAGCACCATTCCTTAAAACCCCAAAGTAGAAATGATGTAGCTTCCATCAATTGACAATAAATAAAATGTGGAATACTTTTTGGCAGTAAAAACAAATGAAATAGTAATCAGTGACACGTATTGCAACTGATTACTGATTATTATTTCAACTGATAACACTGAGAAACTAGACCAAATTCACATGTTAAAGGATTCCATTCATATTCCGTGAACAAGAGACAAATACATAGAGATGAGAGAGAGAGAAAGAAAGGAAAGAAAGAAGGAAAGGAAAGGAAAGAAAGAAAGAAAGAAAGAAAGAAAGAAAGAAAGAAAGAAAGAA